AGCTAGATTGTTTTATTTAAAGCCTTGTAACAGTTTGGGCAATTCAACATTAATTTTTACAAAAATGTATGTGGTTAGTAGGGTCACAATTTTCTATGATAAATCAGACTTCTTGTTTGTAGGGTGGTTGAGGGAGGTGAGAAGAGCAATAGGGGCCTGTGAAGAGGATACTGGAATATTGAGTCAGTGACACTAACCTGTGTTCTGCTTCCCATCCTGGTTGTTGAGTCCTCGTGTGGTTATAAGTCCTTTAGTTTGAAGGATGTTAAGTGGATAAATGTCAACAGGGAGGAGGCCAGCATCAGTGCCCCCAACAAAGCCATGCCATTTATCTAAGTGTGAATGAGGAGAGATTTGATTTGAGATCAATTTGAGATTTGAGAAAGAACATTTTGGGAATTTTAAGAGAAATGAAAGCTAATGTATCAGGGCAAATGAGTTTAAATAACAGTATTTTTACTTTGTCCAGATCTTGTAATAGATTAATTATGGCCAATAAATTTCTAGACAGAACTGACTCATGTCTGTGAATGTGTTCTGGGCATGGAGTGGAGCTCAGAGGAAGGCAGTCCAGCAGGTAAGCCCTCTTCAGTCTCCGCAGTTGGTACAGTGAATTCTGGGCTGGAAGATGCAGGCTAGGGAGGATGGCGGAAGAGAGATTTAGGTGTAGGGCCTCTGGGTTGAGAGGGGCCTCCAAAATGATCCTATTGCAGTGTTGCCCCAGAGAGGGTGCTCCACAGTAGCGCTGTCAGCAGTGGTTGGGTTTCTGCCGGGAGAGGTCTGCCTTGGATCGTGGTGGTGTTTTACAGTGGTGTCTGTCTTTGTCCTCTGCAAGGTAGGGTGAGTGGTGGGGAGTTTGGGAAATGCTGTGTCTTCTATAGTTTGTGTAGACCTTAATGGTACCCTGGTGCCTCCTCCCTGTGCATCTTTCTGTTTTCTAACTAACCCTCTTGACCACCAAGCCTCCATATTCATGAGGAATTTTAAAAAATCTAAGAAGTTCCTAAGAGATATAGAGTCCAGGACACTCACACCTGAATATTGTTGCTTGAGAATTGGTTTATTCAAGAGTGAATGTTTGAGTGCCATGCATGGTTTTGGGGGACCTACAAGATGACCAAAGTCCCTGCTTAGATGTAGGGGAGCAGATGGGGATAGGGAAGGAGAGAAGGTATAACTCTGTGCCTTGCACGCTGTTGCTGGAAGACTGCCCCTTCTCTTGGCCTCTCCTAGGCTGTTTTACCACTTGTCGCCTTTCACCTACATCTGCAGCAGCCAGGAGCTACTCCCTCTGGCCCAAGGCCACTGCTCCACAGGCTGAAAGCTGGCCCTTGACCCAGGCTGCTGTCCAGACACAGCCTGTGGGTAATGTGTCCTGAACCTTGAAATGAGGGCAGAGGCCACTTGTTTAAAGATTCCCCTAGCCCTCCATTGCTGTCTTAATTTCAAAAGTCCAGGTTGGATCAGTAAGCATTAAACATATCTCATTACTTTTGGAGGCTTTCTAGTTGATTCTGTTCTCCCTTTCCTGACTTCTCATTCCCTACTTTATTATATCACAGGGGCAGAATTTATTGCCAAGGATCTGTCACAAAGCACTGTTTCTCCCCAACCCCAGCTCTTTCTCCTGGTGCCCAAAACATGTGACTTAGCAGAGTCAGCAGTACGTGTACCCAATAATTCTACTGGCAACAATGAAAATAAGTTTTATCCTCTTGTCATCCACTTTAATTAAGAGGCCCTTTTTTAGACAATCTGAAAACTATGGCATGTATCACAGCACTCCATCAGCTTTGAAGTTGGGAACTGAAACTTGGATTTGTGCTTAAGCCCTTGCTGAAGAAGGGATAAGAGCTGGTATTTCCTGGTTGTCTGGGTGCTGCTAATGGGTGATAGACATTTGGTAACACTGTCACTTCTCTGGACTTATGATAAAAATCCATTTAGCTCTCTCACTGCCAGTGGCATCTTAGGTCAGGTTATGTTCAACAAGTTTTCCTCAACTCTAGGAATTTACAGAGATTGGAATTGTCCCTCAAAGGTTAGATTGTTAAGGACTCAACCCCAGCTCTCTCTCTTCCTCATCAAGGGCAATTTACTTCCATAGTCAAAGACTAGCATGTTTAGGCAGACTGTTCCTGTGAGGGTTCCATTCACACTGTTCAATATTCATTCTTGTTATTAAATAAGAAAGGGCAGGAGAAATGGGTTCCAAGACCCTCTGTGGAAAGGAGCTGAACATTACAGAATTAGACAGAACTTTAGCGCTTATAAGTTTAATGACAATACCAATAGCTCCTTTCTGGAAAGCAGATTTTTTGCCAACTGAGGGCCAGAAACTTTATGGAACTGATGCTTCGTGGCTCTGGATACTAAATCCTCTGAGTCTTGATCTCCTACTCTGTAGTCTACTTCCTCCTTGGCTCAGTGTCCTTGCAGAAGTCAGGACATACTCAGGGGACCTTGGCTCAGATAACTGTGGCAAGTGGTTGACCCTGCTTTTCCTCCTCTTTGTCCTACTCTAGCTGGGAGACAGTAGTAGCTGGAGTGGCTGGAACTATTTCTGCCCAAGGAGACACTCTGCAGCCCAGGTTCGTGAAAGTAAGGTGGTGGTTAGCTAGAGGGAGTGTGGGGCTCCTGGATGATCACCTTACCTGGCTTATTTGTGAGCTTCTAAGGGAAGAAGTTGAGAGGAGAGGAAGGGCTTGTTGGGAATTTTACAGGGATAAAGGGAAACTGCTGAAGGAGAGACTCAGATGAAGGACAGAGAGAACAGAGTAGCTATTGTGGGGTCTGGGGCCGCTGCCTCTTCCAGAATGCAGCTGACATAGCTGGTTTGAGGAGTGGCTGCTTTCCTGTCTGTGCATGGAGGGAGGGGCTGGTGTGTGTACTTGGTTAGAGATAGAGGGATTTACCTAGTGCTTTCTCATTGGGGGAAAAAAGACAACCTGAACCTTGTTCCTTTATTTTCTCACTTTTTAGAGGTGGGGTCCTCTGTGTTGCCCAGGCTGATCTGGAACTCCTGGGCTTCAATGATGTTCCCACCGCACCCTCCCAAGTAGCTGAGACTATAGGCTTACCGTGCCACGCCTGACTTGAAACTTGTTCTTTTAGTCTCTGTGAAACCTCAATTTGGAGTCCCAAATTTCTTCTAAAGCCTCTTATGCCTACCTGCATTTTCATTTCTGAACCGAGCCCTTATAAGAAATACCCGGTAGGCTGTGGAGCAACAGGTTGCTGCGGGGCTCTAAGGGGTGGCCTCTGTGTGTGACAGTCACCCTCCAAACTTATAGCTTCTGTTCAGGAAAATGGAGCTTCCAAGCAGGCTGGGCCCAGTTGGTGGCCCTGAGAGATAGGGGCTGACCTGAGGGCTTCTGGTGGACTTGGTACTCTGCTTTGCAGCTTGAAGAGTGAGGATGGCAGTCAACAAGGACCCCAGCTTGCTGGACGGAGACTTCCCTGTAAGTAACTTGGGCTTGTATGAGATGGGGTGGACAAGTAAGGGAGGGAGGAGCAGGAAGGGGAGAGGGGAGAGAGCAAGGTATGTCCAGATTAGAACCCTAGTTCATTAACTGCCATGTCTGAGTTACTCGTACTCTCCCTGCCTTTGCAGGGGGCTCTTCGAGTATCTGAGGGGAAAGAAGGTGCCTATTAAACATCAAGCCCTGGGATGAAGAGCACAAAAGTCCTAGCTGAGGGGCAGGTCAAATGGAGAGGAAGAAGCAATTAGGTTCTGAGCCTGTAAGCTGTGCTCTGCACAACTGTGGGGGCTAGATGCGGCCCCACATTCTCTGCCTCGTCACATCTCTGCAGGTGGCTGGCATGGCGTGCACTGCCCCGTGTGGGCTGTGCTGGTGTCCAATGTGTCTAGGGCTGCATCTTTCACACGGTTTCACTGTGACATAGGGTAGTTTTGATACTTTTATGTATGCTTGATGCCTCCTGACATGGCCTGTCTGATTTGGGCATAGCACAGAGTGAAATACAAAGATCATGTACAATGTCTACTGTGTTCCAGGCTAGGGTTTAACCTTTGCATGAGGAATTGCTGTGTTAAGTTTTGTACTGAATCACAGAGTAAGGCATAAGGTGGTCAAGTGCATAGTTTGGTTATCCTAACTCAGGGTGGTTTATTTCCTTCTCAGGACCTCTTTCACTGTTTGGCTCTGTCCAAAGTGTCACAGAATGTTTTCTTGTTTATAGTCAAAATCCTTTTCTAGTTCAAATTTAAAACTCACTTGCAGGATGAAAAGCTACAATACCGTGGCCTGCTTTGTCTAGCGTACATGTGGGCCTCCTGCAAACAGAGCAAGCAGCCTGGTGCTCTCCTCCAGAGTACAACCATGCCACGGCATCACATTCAAAGCTACACAGAGAGCTCAAACATCTGAGTGACTTGGAGAATTTTCACGTCTTAGTTTTGATGCAAAGAATTCTTAGCATTAATAAGAGCAGACAGAAACCCCAAGTATGCTTTCCTAGCCCAGTGACCACAAATCATAGCCAGTCCAGCCTCATCCTCACCCCTGTCAGTTCCTCTGCCTTGTGTTATTTTTTGTTGTTGCAGTTGTTATTGTTGTTTAGCTGGCCCAAGGTGGGTTTAAACCCACCAGCCTGGGTGTATGTGGCTGGCACCCTACCCACTGGGCTATGGTGCCACCCTGCCTTGTGTTATTTTAAAGCAAATCCCTGATAGCCCATTTCAGACTGGAATTGGAACCTTAACTGGGCCACTTACTATCTCTGTGATCTTCATTAAATCACTTCATATCTGAGTCTGTCTGTCTCATTGCAAAGTGGAAGTGATGATGCTGCCCTCAGAGGGTCACTGTTGGAACTAAGTGAAGTCTTGTCACCAAGGCACACAGACCAGTGCCTGATGAATAATGGTACATAGTAAATGCTGTTGTTCTCTGCATGACTAGAATGTATTCTTTTACTTAAAGACCAGTGTGTTTTCATGAAGGTTCCTAGGTGGTCTAAAGTTTAATTATATGACCTGAGCCAAAGTGAAGAACGTTAAAAAGAGCACAGGGCTCCAGTAAGGAGAAATGATGGTTTTGCTGCACCCTGCATGCTCAGACCACACCTGCAGATTGGCCTTCAAGCTTGAGTGCTGTATTTTTTTTTAATTCCGGATTAATATAAGAGTACATACAATTAGGCTACATTGTTTGGATTTGTTAGGTAAAGTCCAAGTTGCAGCTGAGCCCTTCTTTGCCCGGGAAGTGTGCCATATATCCTATGAGTGCTGTATTTTTAAGAAAGCCAACATGAGGTCAAATGTAGTGGCTCGTGTGTGTAATCTGGCACTTTGGGACACTGAGGCAGGAGGATTACTTGAGGCCACAAGTTTGAGACCAGCCTAGGCAACATAGTGAAACCCTGTCTTTATGAAAAATTATCTGGGCATTATGGCATGGGCCTATAGTCCTAGCTACTTGGGAGGTTAAAGCAGGAGAATCACTTGAGCCCAAGGTTAGAGTGTAGTGAGCTATAATGATGCATTCTAGCCCAGGCAACAGAGTAAGATCCTGTCTCAAAAGAACAAAAACAAAACACAAAAGCAAAAAAGGAAGGCAAACAGGCCACATGAAACTATAGCATGTCTACAGGAGGGGGTCACTAGACTGAGGTGTAAACCTTTAGTAAACTAAGTAGAGAACTGGAGCTTGGAGAAGGGACCTCCAAAGGGAGACAAATTTGACTTCAAATATGTGAAGGGCTGATCCATGAGTGGTAAAATAGACTTGCTCAGTGTTGTTGAGAGTGTGGGATGGGGGTAGATTGTCCCGCAAGGGGCACAGGCCATTCTGTGAGAGAGACCTACTGCCCACAGAGACATCCAGATACATGTCTACCAGAGAACAGACTTTCATTGCACAGTCCCTTAGAGGCCAAGCTATCTGTGACTTTGTATAATTGGGCGGATCTAAACTCACACATTGTACTAGGTGCGGCCTTGACTGTGATTCATATATTCAGCTAACATGCCTGTGCACACTTCAGGCTGGACTCTTGGGGTGCACAGATGAAAGTCTACCAGGAGAGAGATAAGCATGAACATACTCACAGAATGGTGTGACAGGCAGCATGTCTCTCGCTGTAGAGACAGCCCAGGGAAGGAAGCAGGAGCTGCTGAGGTGAGGGAGGAGAGTAGGGAAGCTTCACAGAGGAAGCGACGGTCAAGCTGAGCCTTGAAGGAATGCTCTCCTTTGGGCAGAAAGGGCTGTATGAGGGCAAGAAGCATTCTAGGCAGGAGGGTAGCATACATAGGCTGGGAGGCCAAATCTCAGAAAGACCAGAAACTGTTTAGATGAAGCCACTTGACCTAAGGTAAATGGGAATACTGGATGTTAACAGTACTGTCACCAGTAAGTTTTAGGGGTGGGGGTTTGGGAGGGACAAATTTGGCTTGGCCCCTCAAAACAGAGATTGCCTCAGGAGATGTCCAGAGCCGGGACAGTGATTGAGAGGGCATGGCAGGCTGGCTCTCATGTCCCCTGTGGGCAGTCATGCTGCATGATTGCGGCATCCAGAGACCTCTTTGGCCTTGGTTACTCCTGGGCCATTGGGACTCAGGCAAGCCTCATCTTGGTCTCTACAAGGCTGGGGTCACCTTCCCAGGAGGCTAGACAGGGAGGTGGGACAACCTGACTGTGTTCCTTCCATGCTAGGAGCAGGAGAGCGTGCTGCAGCGGGTGCTGCAGCTGCCTGTGGTGAGTGGCACCTGCGAGTGTGTCCAGAAGACCTACACGAGCACCAAGGAAGTCCACCCCCTGGTGGCCTCCATGTGCAACGCCTATGAGAGGGGTGTGCAGGGCGCCAGCAGCTTTGCCGCCTGGAGCATGGAGCCAGTGGTCCGCAGGCTGTCCACCCAGTGTGAGTCCCTGGGGTGCTGATGCCCACTGTCTGCCTCCCAGCCTGTCTATCTGCCCCTCAGTCTGTCTGCCTGACTGCCTACCCAGCTGCCTACACCCCTTCACGTTGTCTTCTGATCTGCGCTATAAAGATCCAGACACATCTCTTTCATCCTTTGAAGCCTTGTCTGTGGCCCATCTGGTGTTTTCTTAAGATAACAATGATGGGCCAAAGGCTCTGCGTAGGGGAAGGATGGGCAGAGCTGTGGGACTGTGGTGAGAGCTGGGCATAGCTAGCCACTCACTCTGGCAGCAGCAAGGACCAGCAGAGCCTGGCACAGAGGTGGGGGAGCAGGTAGGAGGGCTTCCCCATCAGGGCTGGAGGATATGGAGGGAGAGGGTAAGCCCTCTGGTTCTAGCAGCTGATAGTAGCAGCTTGTGAAAGGTGTGGGCAACAGAGCGAGGTGGAAGATGGAAGACAACCATCCATGTGGTCCTTACCAGGTGTACCCTGTTCAAATTGTTCTACCCCATCTGAAAATAAGGTCTCGGTGTGGCTCTTGACAGGGCTGAGGGAGACAGCAGTAATACTAAGAAGACTAGCATTTTCCATCATCCTAATTACAGAAGGCCCAGGCCCTGGGCTGGCCTCATTCTGCTCAATCAGAAGATAGCCAAGTCATCTGGGCTCTGCTGCTTGAGAATTTTGTAAAGAAAAATAAGATATCTGGAGAAAGTGAGAGTATACATAAACCTTAGAAACTGATCTCCATGACTACACAGCTGATGTCCCGTAGCTCAGGGCAGCACCCTGGAAGCATTTGCTAGCCTTGCTCTTTGGGAGATGTTTCTCTCCCTGTGTCTTTGCTCAGTGGGTCATCTCAACACCCTGTGGTTAGAAGGAAGGGTCATGGACAGTCTGGGGCCTGCACTGGCTATGGTTGGGAGTTGGTCATCTGGAGAGCTAAGCAGGCCCAGGCCTGACCCCACCAAGGCCTAACCCCATGACCTGCAGTTCCCAACCTCCCACCCCATACCTCTGTTCTCCCTCTTGCTCACCTCACCCAGCCCAAGGCCGTGGGGAAGGAGGGCAGAGAGCAGTACTTACTGGCAGTTCACCAAGTTTCCATTACTTCTTCCTCACAACTATCCTGCATGGTAGGTCCCATTAATTCACATTTTACAAACAAGGAAACTGAAGCTCAGACAGGTTGTAACTTGTCTGAAGCCACATGCTGTGCAGAAGTGGGCGCATGGCTTTTTCGAGTACAGGTCTGACCAACTCCAGAGTCCTACACAGAAGAAATGGGGTTATAGTGGTCTGATGGGTTACAGTGGATGTGGCTGTAGATGACAAAGGGCCTCAGGTTCAGAGATGCTTAAGAATTAGCAGGTCTGGGATTTGAGAGCTCCAATGTGCTTCCTTGGCACAGAAACCACTGCTACATTCTTGAAGTGGGGTGCAAGGCTCACCCCAACCTGGCCCTTCCCTTCTAGTCACAGCTGCCAATGAGCTTGCCTGCAGAGGCCTGGACCACCTGGAGGAAAAGATCCCAGCCCTCCAGTACCCTCCTGAAAAGGTGAGCCACTTCCCTGTCTCCAGGACTCCCCATACGCTGCTGTCAGTGTCTCTCAGGGAGGGGAGTATGGGGAGCAGCTGGTCCCATGCCTGTGAGTCTTTCTGTGTTTCTATGGCAAACTCCAAGGCTGGTGAGGCTGCCTCTCCTCAAGACTATACAAAGGCTCCTCCTCTCCTGGGGGTGCCAAATGAGGTGGGGTTTCTGGGGCCAGCAGGCACAAACCCAGAGGCAAACCACACACAGGAACTAGAGTGGGTCCCATTGCTTCCAAATATCCTGTTCTGGGGCCTAAGGCTCTGTAGGCCTGCGTGGAGCACTTTGTGACTACAGCTGCTCAAGGTCATGGGTCACACTCATTGGGATCCCAGAACTGCAATCCCATGTCCTCAAGATCCAGCCCTTTATGGACCACAAGATTGAAAAACTCACTTTATTGCTATTTGCTATGGTGATGGCCCATGTCAGGTGCTCTGGGGGCCTAAGCTTCAGTCTCTGACTTCATCCATCTCACTAACCCACAAACATTAACTGAGTCTGTCCTATGCCAGGGGTAGCCACATGCTTTATAGACCTCTCACATTTAATCCTCTTGTCTCTCTCTGGATTAAGGGGCTGCTGTTCCCATTTTACAGATAAGAAAACTAGTGACTTCCCCAGCTGCACGGTCTGAGGTGGAGACATATGGGAGCAGGTCTATTTGTCTCTGAGGCTTGTGCTCTACACTCCCCATTTGTCCAGATAAAGGGCAACGTCGTCACAAAGGAGCTCCTGGCTAATGAAGAGAAAGATTATTTCAATGCAGAACTTGTAGGAAGATCAACTACGTCTACAAATCAATATAAACACAGTGTTCTGAGGAAATGACAGTGAAAGCAGTACAGGGCTCTGGCAGAGAAGATGCCTTGTGTGTGCAAGGGTATCAGAATAGGTACCATCAAAGAGGTGGCCTTTGGGGCTGTCCTTGCAGCATAAGTAGGATCTTGCCAAGTGGTGATGGGATATAAAGAAACCAAGAGATCTGGGTCATTGCCACAGGGAGGGTTTGTGCCCTTTTCCCTTAAGGCCCAACTTAATCCAGGTGCCCACATGTTGGTGCCAGTCCCCTGGGCCTTCCTGGGAGCTTGAGTTCAGGACATGAGACCCTGAAAGGGCAGCCCTTGTAGGAGCTGGAAATTCCACATTTCTGACATCCTCCCTGACTTCCTACAGATTGCGTCTGACCTGAAGGATACCATCTCCACCCGCCTTCGCAGTGCCAGAAACAGTATCAGCGTGCCCATTACAAGCACTTCAGACAGAGTCCTGGGGGCTGCTCTGTCCAGCTGTGAACTTGCCTGGGAGGTGGCCAAAGGCACTGCAGAATATGCCACCAATACCCGAGTTGGCAGACTGGCCTCTGGAGGGGCTGACTTGGCCTTGGGGGGCATTGAGAAGGTGGTGGAGTTCCTTCTCCCTCCAGCTGAGGAAGACTCAGGTACCTGCCATTACAGAGGCTGGTTGGCTCCCTGGGGAGTGAGTTGGCCACTGCTGCTTCCTAGGAATCAGCGGGGGGTGGGGGGGGGTTAGGGGCTCTTCTAGCCACTGCTCTGGAATAGGGAAGGCCCACTGGGATTTTCAAATGAATCTATAATCATATAGCCCTGTATCTCCATCTGTTGAAGTAAGTCATGCATATTAGCAGTGAGTTAGTGGTAGAACTAGGGCAATGGCTTTCTAGCCCTAGACACCACTCAGACTTCCCTAGCCCCTTTCTGATCTATTTTGTCTACTTTTCTCCCAAATCCCTACCCAGCCCCTGCTGTTGGATGCCAGCCAGCCCAGAAGCCTTCCAAGGCCAAGCTGAGTCTCATGAGCAGGGTTGGGGCCTTGACACATACTCTCTCTCAGCACACAGTGCAGACCACAGCTTGGGCACTGAAGCAAGGCCATGCCCTGGCCATGTGGATACCAGGTGTGGCACCTTTGGTGAGTGTCTGCCCGGAGCTCTGCCTAACTCCACGCCTAACAGTCCTGTGTACCTCCTGGTTCCTCCCAGCCCCCACCTGATGCCCCTCCCTGTGCTGGGAATGTTCTCTTTTCCAACCTGGGCTAGGGCTTGATGGTTAAGGGCAGGAGACCTTAAGAGGAGAGAAGGGTCAGTCCCCCAGGCCACTTTTGTCCCCAGGGGGGCAAAAAGGACAGATGTTAGTTGTGGGCAAGCCTACCTTGCTAGGATAGTCCTGCCCCACCACTCACCTCTGTCTCTCCTATTTTTCCTCTGAGTCTGCCCACTATAGTCTCCATTCCTCCAAGTGGGCCTCTTGCTGTGGGCCATTGACCTATGAGGAAGCAGAGACTCCCATTTGTTCTCTAGGCAAACCTGTTCTGCCAGGGAGAGAGTTCTGGTTGCCTCTAGATTTTTTTTTTTAATTTCCCTTCTAGAGACTTCTAGTTTCTATCTTCCCCTTCACCCAAGGTAAAGCTGCCTTTTCTAAGCCCAGGTAAGGCTAATTCCCCAAAGCTTCCCACCCCTGTCTCTCTGTGTATTTTAGCAGAGATAAGCTGAATTTTTCCATAAAGAACTTTAGTAAGGAAATAAGGCCAAAAAAGGAAATGAAAACAATATTAAAGCATAGAGGTCAGGAAACAAGATGATCACTTTTCAGTGATCATTTGAGTAGTATTTTTTTTTTTTTTTGAGACAGAGTCTTAAGCTGTCGCCCTGGGTAGAGTGCCGTGATTTCATAGATCACAATAACCTTCAACTCTTGGCCTCAAACGATCCTCTTGCCTTAGTTTTTCTATTTTTAGTAGAGACAGGGGTCCTGCTTTTTGCTCAGGTTGGTCTTGAACTCATGAGCTCAAGCTATACACCTGTCTTGGCCTCCCAGAGATCTAGGATTACAGGTGTGAGCCATTACGCCCAGCTTTTTTTTTTTTTTAATAACTCTACTCAAACTAGCTCTATTTTAAGCATGTTCCCTATCTAAAATTCTCTGCTTGAAACACTTGAGGGCGTGGCCTCAGTATCATAAAAATTGTTAATTTCATCTTTTTGATTATTCTTTCTGCATATTCAAGGTCTGTCTATTCATCCAAGTTTAATCAAAACCTTGTGTATTTTATAAATCATTTTCATGCCAGCTTCCCCTGAGTGCCTGTAGCATAGCTTAAAACAGAGGTCCTTAATCAAGCTTGTGGGCCAAACTTTATAAATAAAATTTTATTGGAACACAGCCAAGCTCACTTGTTACACATTGTCTGTGGCTGTATTTGCAGTACAACAGAACAGTTGAGTAGCTGCAGCAGAGATCACATGAGCTGCAAAGCCTAAAAATATTTACTATTGCTCCTTTGGAGAAAAAGTTTGCCCTGGCTTAAACCTCCTAAATTTATATTATACTTCCTTCAGTTCTTCCAAAATGTCTTTTCAGATTCTTTTTTCCTCCTCTCCTCAACCTGAGTAATATTCTTAAAAGTATTGCCATGCCTATGTCATTCATTCAAGCAAATCCCTCAGTAGGAATGAGAGTTTCTCCATCTCCTGCACTGAGGATCACTCATGTGCCCTGGCCTGGCTGTAGTGGGCAGAACCTTAGGTGCCACCATTCACACACAATAGAGTTGAAAGCCATGTTATGAGGACAGCCTTTCTGTGGGGCTCCTTATAGATTTGAAATGAGCCAAGCTGTGCCTCAGCCTACCTGTTCAGTTTCCTCCCATGGGACACTCTGCCCTCTTGACCTTCCCACTCTTTAAAGACCTGTGCGGAAAAGCTCACCAGCACATACTCTGTGGTGCAGCAGCTCCACTCGGAGTACATGCCCAGCAGATAAGAGCATTGATGTGTCCTGAGACACATCAAAGTGTTCCTATCAGCTCTATCCTTAGTGAGAGCTGGAAACAAACAAATGTCCACCTATAGTAGAATGGGTAAATTGTGGTCAATTCACACAATTACACAGAAATGAGGAACAATGACTATACGTAGCATGAATGATTCTCATGCCATAACTCTCTAAAGGAGCTATCTGTGAACAGACACACAGTGAATGATTTCAGTTATATGAAGTTAAAAAATAGACAACTCAGACAAAATTCTGACAGAGATCAGAACTGTCACTCTTGGGGAAGTGAGAGTACAGGGGACTGAGTGAGAGTACAGGGAGTCTTCTGGGGTATTGAAAGAGGTCTGTATCTTGATCTGCGGTAGTGATACAGGTATATACTTGCAAATATTTATAGCTGTATGCTACAGATGTATGTGCTTTACAGTATGAGAGTTACCTCAAAATGAAATTTTAAGAAAAGTCTACTGGGGCCAGGCTCTGCTCTCCACTCTGACCCTGATCCTGACCTGGGGGGTGATGGCTCTGTCTGCTGGGGCCACCTAGCCTGCAGCAGGGGCTGCCAAGCCAGCAGTCTGCTGCGCTTATTCCTTAGAGTGGCCTGGCCCAGTGGGGTGTGTCAGTGGCCATGCAGGTGGTATCCCAGCAGAAGAATGAGGTGCAGGCACCCTGGCTGCACAAGCTTACCACCGCCCAGGAGGACCATGATGACCAGACGGACACAGAGGAGGAGGAGACGGAGGAGGAAGAATTAAAAGCTGAGGAGAACAAGTTCAGTGAGGTGAGGGAGAGAGTGGGAGCCTGTCGGCCCCAAAGCCTGTTGTCAGGTGGGAAGGATAGGGCTTCCTCCCCAGACCCAGGGACATATGGGTGTACTACTCCTCCCCTCTTCCTCTTCGCTAATGAAATGCAGCCATGTCACTCTCTAGGCAGAGCAGAGGTTATTGCTCCATTTTGCAGTTGAAGAAACTGAAGTTGAGAGATAGGATATGACCTGTCCAAGGCCACACAGCTAGGGCTGGGTCTAAAGTTTTTCCAATTTGGTATGCCCATGCTTTCCCCTCTAACTCTGTGGCTGGTGGGAAGGGGAAGGATCAGTGACATTGCTATAGGAGGCACTGACCCTACTTTGGTCCCCTAGGTAGCCCTGCCCAGTCCTCGAGGCCTTCTGGGAAGTGTGGCACACACCCTGCAGAAGACGCTCCAGAGCACCATCTCAGCTGTGACATGGGCACCCGTGGCTGTGCTGGGCACAGCAGGAAGGGTGCTGCACCTCACACCAGCTCGAGCTGTCCCCTCCACCAAGGGAAGGGCCATGTCCCTATCAGATGCTCTGAAGGGTGTAGCTGACAATGTGGTAGACAAGGTGGTGCACTACGTGCCGGTGAGTCCCGCCTCAGGTAATCTCCCTCTTCCAGGAGGTCTGGACAGGATGAACAAAGTAGGCTGGCTGTAGCCACCTCCTCCCCCTATCCCAGACTCTCCTCCTGTTCTCAATGCCTCAGGAACATTTGACATGCTGGGGCTTCTCCCACCAGTCTGGGCATCCCTAATGGCTCAGCCTTCACCTCTCAGGTCCCCACTGGAGAACCTGGCAGGTTTGCAGGCTGCTGCCTGGGCAGGGAGGGGAGGGAGCTTCCAGAGCATCCTGAGGAACCAGCCATGAGTTCCAGGGCACAGCACTAGCCCCACCTGATTCTGTCACCTACCACCAACAGGAGAAACACAAGAGACGCCAATGTTATCCCTTTGGGAACCTGTGGGCCCCTTTTGAGGTCAAGTTATAGGTTGAATAGGCTCAAGGAGGCTGGTCAGGGAAGGAATGCTGTAGGGGTGGGGTTGGGAGTAGGGGAGAGTTGTCAGTCATTCCCACCAAAAGGCATGCCAGGGTCTTGGCAGCCAGCCTGTTCACATTAGACACCAAACAAGCCCAGACAGGGGTACTCTGACCCTGGCCAGGTCAAAGGAATGTTTGGGAAAGCCTGTCACTCAAGGTCCCCTGGAAGGAGGCTCAAAGCATCCCGAAACTTTGGGAGGGTTACCTTACCCGAGGGGCCAGGTCCATGGAGACACTCAGAGTGAATAGGACCTGAGGGGGCTCACCAATGTCCCCCATCCTCCTGTCTCTGCCCCAGCCTGTGCCCTCCCACTGCCACTCCTGGAAGAATGCAGGCAAGGGCCCTGGCAGGTGTGTGGGTGGAAGGCGTGGGAGGCGAGGGAGGACTAAGGCAGCTGCTGGGTCCTTAGCTCCCCAGGCTGTCGCTGATGGAGCCAGAGAGTGAGTTCCGGGACATCGACCACCACCCTAAAGAGGCTGAACGCCGAGAGGCTGAGCGTGCCGTGTTTGGGGTGCTGCCCCCGGGGCTCCCCGCCGCACCCCATGAGAAGCTGAAGCGCAGGGTCAGTGACAGCCTCTTCCGGCCCAGCGTGCTGGGGCCGGTCCTGGGCCGTGCGCAGAGCAGCCAACTGCGCAAGAAGAGCTGAACACACTGGGGTCTCGACAGACCATGCACCAATGCACATCTTTTCTTAGCCTCCCTCCTTTTGGGGCATCGGTGTCAGAGCCAGATTTTAAGGGGCACCAGTGAGCAGTCTGCTCTAATTCTACGGCTTGTTTTATTACTAAAAGAGTAATTGCTTAACTTGATCACTCACTTCTTTAACCGAACTTGAGGCCAAATACATTACATCCTTTCTCTGTGGACCCATATTTGCCACTAGTAAGATGTCACCACCTTGAGGCTCCAAACCAGAGTTCTGGACACTTTTTTAGCACTGAAGTCGGAGACCCCTGATTATCTAGGCTCTCAGTAGACTGCCTTGCAGGGGACAATGATCTTGCGCTGAAGCTCTTTCCTATTCACGTTACTCCCTGGGTACTCTAGCTCCTCAGGCCCTAGCTCACTGCGGCACTTCCCTTTGTGTCATTGTTGCCTTCCATCCCATAGTCACTCCTTCGAATGCCCCCCAGATCCTAGGGATGAAAGTGGTGACCTTTCACCTCCATGTAACCTATATGTAGATTTTTTAGCCACAATTCATTCCCAGCCCTGTTTTGGGAAATGTTAATATTTGGTAAATCTAGAAAATGCATACATATAATTAAAACATTCAAACACTGCAAAAGGGTATGTGTCTTTCTCCCCTGGTCCACTTCATAAGAACAGCCATGGTGTGATCTCCTGTGTATCCTTCCTATTAGACTTTATGTACAAGCACGTGTTTCCCCTACCTCTGTTTACATAAGCTGTGCGATGTTACACTCACCTGTTTTTTTCACCTAACAATATAACTTACCAGTGTTTTTGTACCAGCATCATAAATCCTACTTGCTCTTTTTAATGGACACGTAGTAAGTACTTTATAATGTGCATATGCCATGTTTGATTTAACTAGCTCCCTAATGGTGGACTTTTAAATTGTTTCTGATATTTTGCTACTATAAACAGTGCTATAATAAACAGTGCTTATAAAAATGTCTTGTGGGCTGGTAGCAGTGGATCATTTCTGTAATCCGAGTGTGCTGGGAGGCTGAGTCGGGAGGATCCCTTGAGCTCAGGAGTGGAGACCAGCCTAAGCAACAGTGAGACCCCCCTCTACTAAAAATAGAAAAATTAGCTGGGTGTTGTGGAGGACTCCTGTAGTCCCAGCTACTCAGGAGGCATAGGCAGGAGGATTGCTTGAGCCCAAGAGTTTGAGGTTGCTGTGAGCTAGGCTGACACCACTGCACTCTAGCCTGGGTGACAGAGCAATATTCTGTCTCAAAAACCCAAAATCAAAACTTTCATGTACATTGTGGCTATATTTATAGGATAAATTTGTAACCTGTAACAGTGACATGGTAGGTAAAAGAATATGTGCATTTTGCATGTTGATAGATAATGCCAAGTAGCCTTCCCAACCAAACCCTGTTTTTCTAAGTATTTTCATTTTCAGCTATGGAAATGAGTACAGATAACTGTGACATTTTGGTCAGTCTAAAAAGACATCCACATCCACTCCCTAGCCCTCTTGGCCTCTGCTCTGTGGCATACCTGAGAGCTCAGCAATCCGAGGCTGACTCTGGGACCTTGGCATCACTTTGATGTGGTCAGTCCTTTTTTCTTTTAAGGAGACTGAACTCTAGCCTATGTATATTTTAGGAAAATTTTTGACTGGGGGGTTGCCTTGGGCTTCCCTTCATAGGTTCCTGGTTGCCCAGAGAAACCATGTTGGGAAGTTATTTTGACCTTTGTTTGGAGCTGACTTCTTAACCTCTAACTGTTAACATAATTCAGCTTTTTCTCAAACATGTGGAAAAGCCAATTGAATTTAATTTTGCAGTGAAAGGTAATGAAAAGGACCTTTTGAAACACACTTACAACTGTTATGCCCAGGAGTTCCACAAAGACCACACTGCCAAATAAGCCAAATTCACAGCAGAGTCCCTTTATTGAAGAGCCGGCCTGTGATTGCCTCACACCTAACATAGGGGTTCAGAGAGCAGCCCCAAATGCTTAAGGGGTTGGGTTTTTAAGGCTTGGTCTGTATCCTGGTTGGCATGCAGGCTTCCCAGGTGCATTCGGGTAGGTTAGCAAGCATTGCACTGAGAAAGTATACCCAAGAAGGGTGAGGTCTAGGAGAACAGGTCTTCTCAAGGTCCTCTCCATGGTGACTCAGCTCTTGGGAATTTGTAACTTGGAAATTTCCAAGTTCTGTGAAATTCTGTAGTTCTGTAGGGGCTGGAATAGCATCTCCCACTTGATTCAAACTGGCCAATGAGAAGGGTACCTGTGGGGTGGAACTTTTTGACTGTCAATAAAAAGGGAAAGACCAAGCCAGTCAGGGAGCACAGCCATTTGGAAATCTTCTATGCTGTAAGCTCCCGGCTGGTAAATAAAGCCCTTCCTCTTATAAACGTGGTGTTTGGGGCCTCATCTTCCTGCAACAGTACAGAAGCAGAATTTTGTGGTTAGTTAGCCATATGCTTTGTTTCAGTACTTTTCCCACCTGGTAGGTCTCAAAGGTCAGTCTGGGGACACTTGGTACTGCCCAGTCCATTTCTCAGGGGAGTTAGTTAAGCAAGAAGTCAGTGAGTACTTTCCCATCTATCTTGGGAGTGAACCAGACTTACTCCATTTTTTTGAGGGCTTGCAGCCCAGAAATTTGCTAGGTGTTAACTGGTATTTTTCTACTTTAGTCTAGGCCTAATAGTAACATCTGAAAAATACCAGAAAGAGCCAGTATCATAAATATATAAAGCAATCCTTTGCCAATATTCAAGCAAAGCACACAAACTACAAGGAGAGAGAGAAAAGCATCAGAGGTCTTTAGAGATAAATAGAAAAAGTTTGGGACCATGGAAGAGAAGTTAGTGAAAGTGTAGCAGGAAGCTGATGCAGACAGAAGACTCCAGGCACCAGTTATCAGAAGAAGTGTCTTTATTTCTGTGGCCAGGGAAACTCGGAAGACTAGTGTCTCAAAAACCGAGGCCCTGCCTGAATCTTCTGCCTCTCTTTTATCCCCTTTTCAGGACTAAAGTACATGTGAGGGTCATAAAACTGAGTAAGGGATGACATAATCCGAAGGTCCCAGGACTCAGGGGGAAGGTCAGATTTGTTTCTGCCCTTAAGACCTGTCAGGCTACCTGCCTTCAAAGGCAACAGAAGCCTAGGGAAGTTACAAGGCTACAGTCTAGGCCCTGCGCATGTCAAGGGAGGACCATACAAATAGCAGAAACTTCTGTGGCCTGGCTAATGCCTACACAGGATGGCTAGGACAGATCTTTAGCTCTGCTTTTTACTCTTATGCTTCATTCCCCCTTTGAGACTCAGAACAGCCTGTTACGGAGTCTCAGCATCATCCTCACCAACCCGTGTCACAGTTCACTGGTGATGCATGTAATATGCTCCACCTGGGCCTCATTGAGACACAGCTGAACTCACTAGGTTCCTCACCATCTGGAGTAATACCGGTAATAAGCATGGGAGAAGGCAATAACCCAATAACAGCAAGACTCCTATTATAAGGGTCTTAAAACCTCCAAAAGCAGAGAACCATCCTCCAAAGATGACTTTTGGATCAAATCCATGCCACACCTATACCGGCACATGAGTCAATTTGGAAATTTCATTAGCTATATTTTCCACCACCAGACCTTGATCATCTATTTTCAGACAACAGTTGGTCAGACTGAACTTTCCACATACTCCTTCTGCAGCAAGTAAATAATCCAAAGCCAATCTGTTTTGATACACAGCATTTCTTATTTGAGTTTGCTGGTGGGCAAGGAGGGTCAAAGCTTTCCTGGTCTCATTAGTGATTATTTCTAAGACCACCTGCAATCATATGATATGATTTAGCATATAGATAGGGGTTCAGTAACCACACAACCCATCCTCTGCCCATGTGCCTGGCCCATAGTATTGTATTATTCTTTCTGGGGGCCACTCATCCTTTTTCCATTCTCCTATTTGTGAGTGTCAATGATGCTGTCGGACTTCTTCCTCTGGGGTGGCTACTGGAAGCCCAAATAGTTCTCCCGCTTTGATGGGCAGTAGAAAGAAAGAGGGCTTTATAAAGTGTATGATACAACTGCCTGTCCATTGGTCAAGTAACTGGGCATATGCCTTATCCCCACAAATCCAATATATTTCCTGAGGGGCACTCCTGTTTCGTGAGAATCCTAGATGCCCACCAGGCATCTCTGAGTTCAGGGAACCAGTCTAGGGGATTTAGTTCTGTCCGATCCAGTCCCCACCAGACAATTATTCCAATAGTAGCATTGTACAGTCTTTGACTTAGGCAATGTAGCTGTCCTATGTCACCAATGTAGCTGGCACAGTGAGATTTTTCCCTTCACTTCTTGCTAGGCAGTATTGTCCGATAATCGGGGTCTTCAGGATCCACACATTGTCCTTCAGATTTCTCCAATATGGAGCAATGTCTGGGTTAGGCTCAGTGGGAGTAAGATCTCTAGCTTCCCTTGGCCACCGATCTGTCATAGTTCCTCCACATATAAAGCAAGAAGTTACATTCAGGGACTGTGCCACACTTTCAGCTAATTGAAATAATAAATTCTTTGTGCCCTTTGGGAGTGGCGGCACAGGCTATTCCAATTCATCATAGAAAGTATGGTAGACAGCCACCTGACTGGCCTGACGGGAGGCAACTTGCTTACTGACCCTTAACTGACATATTGAATCTAGGATGGTGCCATCTATTCCCAAAGACATAACTAGTCCTTTTGCCCACTTAGGGTTGGAGGGATTTCTTGTAGGTAGAATCAAGGGGTTGCAAGTTTCAGTAGTGCAATCCGCTGGAGATTCCCCTTTTTCTAGCACTGAACTCTTTCTGGCTGTCATCTTTAATATTCCAGGTGCCTTCTATTACACATGACCACTATGCACATTCAGCACATGGGTAGTCTATAGAGCACAGATACTTCTGGTTTCTCCTATAAGACCTTTCCCAGTCAAGCAATCCACATGACACTCCCTGCTTGCTATGTGCAAGTTGGCATGTGTCAAATTTAAGAGACACCTGGTTGGATTTCCACAGCCTTGAGTTCTTGGTACTAGAAGTTCCCTCTCAGCTCTCCAACCCACTGATTCTGTTATGATAGTAAACTCATAGTAATTGGGTGGCTCTGAGGGATTGTAGCAAACATGGGGTTGGCTATCCCCAGGGTCACACACCTTATATTCAGTAGAATTATAAGTAAGTCCGGTCACACACCTTATATTCAGTAGAATTATAAGTAAGTCCCTTGCTGAGTCCCTGTACATTCATAGTAACTATAAAACAATAGAACACTTAGAGGGGGGAGGGAGAGGGATTCGAGGGTTCACTTCTGTGGTTCATCTTGCAAGGGTACAAGTGAATCTTTCTATGAGTAGAATATGAATGTTTTG